ATTATTATTATTATTATTATTATTATTATTATTATTATTATTATTATTATTATTATTATTATTATTATTATTATTATTATTATTATTATTATTATTATTATTATTATTATTATTATTATTATTATTATTATTATTATTATTATTATTATTATTATTATTATTATTATTATTATTATTATTATTATTATTATTATTATTATTATTATTATTATTATTATTATTATTATTATTATTATTATTATTATTATTATTATTATTATTATTATTATTATTATTATTATTATTATTATTATTATTATTATTATTATTATTATTATTATTATTATTATTATTATTATTATTATTATTATTATTATTATTATTATTATTATTATTATTATTATTATTATTATTATTATTATTATTATTATTATTATTATTATTATTATTATTATTATTATTATTATTATTATTATTATTATTATTATTATTATTATTATTATTATTATTATTATTATTATTATTATTATTATTATTATTATTATTATTATTATTATTATTATTATTATTATTATTATTATTATTATTATTATTATTATTATTATTATTATTATTATTATTATTATTATTATTATTATTATTATTATTATTATTATTATTATTATTATTATTATTATTATTATTATTATTATTATTATTATTATTATTATTATTATTATTATTATTATTATTATTATTATTATTATTATTATTATTATTATTATTATTATTATTATTATTATTATTATTATTATTATTATTATTATTATTATTATTATTATTATTATTATTATTATTATTATTATTATTATTATTATTATTATTATTATTATTATTATTATTATTATTATTATTATTATTATTATTATTATTATTATTATTATTATTATTATTATTATTATTATTATTATTATTATTATTATTATTATTATTATTATTATTATTATTATTATTATTATTATTATTATTATTATTATTATTATTATTATTATTATTATTATTATTATTATTATTATTATTATTATTATTATTATTATTATTATTATTATTATTATTATTATTATTATTATTATTATTATTATTATTATTATTATTATTATTATTATTATTATTATTATTATTATTATTATTATTATTATTATTATTATTATTATTATTATTATTATTATTATTATTATTATTATTATTATTATTATTATTATTATTATTATTATTATTATTATTATTATTATTATTATTATTATTATTATTATTATTATTATTATTATTATTATTATTATTATTATTATTATTATTATTATTATTATTATTATTATTATTATTATTATTATTATTATTATTATTATTATTATTATTATTATTATTATTATTATTATTATTATTATTATTATTATTATTATTATTATTATTATTATTATTATTATTATTATTATTATTATTATTATTATTATTATTATTATTATTATTATTATTATTATTATTATTATTATTATTATTATTATTATTATTATTATTATTATTATTATTATTATTATTATTATTATTATTATTATTATTATTATTATTATTATTATTATTATTATTATTATTATTATTATTATTATTATTATTATTATTATTATTATTATTATTATTATTATTATTATTATTATTATATTGTTGTGTTCGTAACCTATGTAGAGGAAGTGAGGAAGCGGGCACAAGGGGGAAGGTAAACAACCTCTCTTGTTCAGTTGCGTATCATTTCTCTGTAAGATCACACATTGTCCAAAGTTTTAAATTGTAAAAAAGTAACAAATTCGCTAATTTTACTATTTTTAAAATGTATACCGTCTTATATGTGTCTGATGCAGGAAATAAAACAAAATCACTGTAAAGGTATAATTTTATCAATTAAAGAATAAAACCTCAGAAGCAATACATCAATTTTATTATAAATAAATACAGCAGCGACTAGTTTCGGCCTCACAGGGACATCTTCAGGCCTGTAATACAATAATCCTTAATTATTATAATAGGAACAATATAAGAATAGGTTGGTCACTTACGATTAAAATTAAATAGTATAAATCACACAAATGGATACATATTGTAGCATTACAGTATTGTAGAATTAAAGCTGTGGAAAAGGAAAAATAAAAGAGCAGTGCAAACTTAACTAAAAATAAGAAAAATGGGTACGGAATCTACAAGAGAAGAGGTGAGAATGAGCAATTACGAATGCATTTTAATTGCTCGGGATAACAAATAAGGATGATAATGTAAAGTAGTGGTAATCCCCGTCAAAGAAGGTACGGATATGTGAAAGAGGATTCGGCGTTTTCTCTGTAAATCTTGAGAATGTAAGGATGGAGGGAAAACGAATCTTGCTGACTCAGGTGTAGATAGGCTAGAAAAAGGATAGTATAGATGAAAGCTCCAGTTAATATCGTCATTTTCGTCTAATTTTTTATTCTCTCACCGTTTCGGCTTTATCTTCGATATTCATTTTCAAAAGGAAATAAAAGTAATCATTCCTACAAGCATATAATAAAACCACGTGAATTCATTATATTTAATAAGCTAATAAACGTTTGTTTCAATGAATAATCATATATGTGAATATAAAAAAATAGAAATAGATAAGAATAATATTATATTATATTTATGAGGCACAAATTTTTACTCATAATTTTGAAATGCCAGTTTTCTGCATCTTCTTCCACCTAAAAAACAATGCAAACTAATTAGTACCTTCAGAATCAGTGTTAAGTAAAAAGGTAGGTACCTATATTGACCTACTAGTTGATCAACTAGGTACGTTTTATAAAATATCAAATTGGAAACAAAAACAATTCAAGAGTATTTACTTACATCAAAATAATTATAAAAGCACGATGGTAGTTTGTATTTTGCAACAGCCCCTATCCCACTGTCGTTTTTTAATGTCTAGGACTAGATTTTGAGGAACTTTTATAAACATTTTATCAGATTGACTGTTTTTTTTTACTTCTCATTAGTACCAAGTACTTGAAAATATAACCAGATATTTTTAATGTAATGCAAAATTAAACAAATGTTTATTTTATCACTCTTTTTAAAATCAATTTCAATGTTTCCCACAATCGATTCGAGGTTAGAAAGTTTGACATTTTGTATTATGAGAAATGAAAACATAATTTTAATCCGATTTAAGAAAGAGATAACTATCATAAATGTTACTAGCTATTAAAAAAAGATAACGATCAACTGTATGTGTTACGGTATCACAGATTCTTTAGTGACCAATAGAAATAAGCGCTTCATCATGACGCGATAAATGGCGCAAAAATAGAGTGTTTTAAAAAATTGATTTAAAAGTAAACTTTTTAAAGTACTATAACTTTATTATTTATTATCTGTTTAAAGTTTTTATTGCATGAAAAAAATATTTTTGTGTTTAAACAGTTAATAGCATTAGATTCGGTGAACTCGTTTACACTAAACACGCCCATTGTTAATATTTTGATTTATACATAACAAAATTTAATTAAACGTTTTTGACCCCTTTAAAATATTGTAAATGACTATGGGGTCTATTCTGTAACAATTCCTTTATATTTAACGGCCTTTAAAAATATTGGCGGCCTTTAAAAATATGTTCGTATTCGTTAATTTACTTCTGTCATTATTTAAACAGATTTCTTTAAGATAGTCCTCTAATGTATTTTAAAGATCCGTTTAAATAATGACAGAAGTAAAGAAGAAAATATTTTTAAAGGCCGTTAAATATAAAGGAATTATTACAGAATAGACCCCTATGTCTGCGATTTCCGTTACTGACTTGAAATGTTAAATTGCCATTCAAATTATTCACACCATACTATCTAAAGAGATATTTTTTAAATTTACAATAAGGTTTTAGAAATCCATTTAAAACTTAGTCTTATCATAATTATTACATTATTAACTAATAATTCCTCACCTAGCAATAACATGGTGATTAATACTGGAGCAAGGTAATTAACTTGCATCTCTAATTGAAATCCATCTATCGTTTTCTGATTCCCAAGCATTATGGCACCTGCATTATTTATTAAAATATCCAGCCTTCTTTCATTTTTTAAAATATCTTGAGCAAATTCTCTAACAGAGTTTAGCGAAGCAAGATCCAGTCTTTTCAATATAACATTTTTATTTGCCGTCAATTTTTGAATTATTTCTATTGCTTTTAAACCCTTTGTTTCATCTCTACATGCCAAAATTACTCTTCCGCCTCTTTTTGCACATTCTAAAGCCGTTTCATAACCAATTCCTGAAAAAAATTCGGTAAAGTATTTTACTCAGAACTTCCCTCGATATAGAAATTGTAAAAATAGGGAACTCCTAAGCACTTAAATTTTAATAATTTAAAATTAAAACCACCAAACCAAAAACCCTTTTTCACATTTCTCTGTCCATCAATCTTCCTCTTGATCCCACCCGAAATCTCACTTCTTCTTAAATTTTGCCGTTATTAAACAATGATTGGTTGCTTTTAAAATGGTCCAGTTACACAAACCAAAAGGACCCCTTTTATTATTTTGAATTTAATGGGGACCTTTTTTGATTAAATATGCTTCCTTTCAGCGCCATTTTGAATTTTTTAAAACTTATTTAAGATCTGTTATCTTTTAAAAATATATTTTTTTAAAAACTTCTCACCCTGTTTGGAACTGTTTTGAAGTATAACTGGCTTTGAGCCAGAAAGAAACCTTATCTGCATACAAAATTTAAAGTTTTTCTATGAAGCTGTTTTAGAGCTATCGCGCCAATAGACAGACAACAGACAGATCGACGGAATGGGCAAACATGTTTTTCGTAATGTAGGGACCCTGAAACCGGAAAATCTGAAATAATCTCGGAGAGTGACTTTTCACAATTACAATACTTCCCTCTTATCAAGGGAAGTAAAAAAATGCTTGACAAATCTCAATTATTAAGCAGAGTAAATCATGCATTTTCACTGATGTCACATCTTTCTTTAAGAGGAAAGAAAACTCGGAGTCATTTACTGCAACACTTTTTGTTAAAATGCAATTAAGGGATATTTTTAAATAATAATCATTGTAACAAATACAAACATTTTATTCGTAAGCTGAAACTCAAATTACTTAGTTAATATTTTTTAAAACTAACTACATCATAAGATTAACCAATTTTTGACAATGTTTGACAACCCATTAGATTTTTTTCTACAGCCCCTAAAATAATTTAAGGGGTTAAATTATAGAAAAACATGAGTTCCGGGACGAATTTCAACTTTGAAAAAATTATCAATAGTCAGAAAGACACAATAAAATCCAAAAACTTTTAAAATTATGTATCGCCGTTTGACTACCCCCTAAAATATCTTAAAAGACCCCAGAGGGGTCAAAAATTCAAAGAAAACATTTCCCAATCTAATTTCTAGTTTATCAAAATGGTCAATCGACATAAGAACACAATAAAGAGCTATAAAGGTTTAAAATTATATTTTGACGTTTGATCACACCCAAAAATAATTCTAATGTTCCCAAGTAGTGTCAAAATTCGAAAAATAAAAGTAGAAAATCGTATTTCTACTTGGAAAGATGATAAAACGACATAAGTGCACAATAAAAATCCATAACGGTTTAGAATTAGATTTTGACGTTTGACCACCCCCTAAAATAATTTGAATGTGCCCAAATAGTGTGAAAAATAGAAAAATTCAAGATGGAAATCGAATTTCGACTTGGAAAAAATGGTCAAACGACATAAGTGCACAATAAAGATCCGTAACAGTTTATAATTAGGTTTTGACATTTGACCACCCCCTACAGTAATATAAATGTGCCAAAGTAGTGTAAAAATTCGAGAAATACAATTTGAAAATCGAATTTCGACTTGAAAAAAAATGGTCAATCGACATGAAGGTACAATAAAGATCCATAATAATAATATAGAATTATATTTTGATGTTTGGCCACCCTCTAAAATAATTTTAGTGATCCTAAGTAGTAAAATAAAAGTAGGAAATCGAATTTCGACCTGAAAAAAGTGGTCAAACGACATAAGTGCACAATAAATATTCATAACGGTTAAGAATTATGTTTTGACGTTTGACCACCCCCAAAATAATTTTAATTTTCCCATGTAGTGTGAAAATTCGAAAAATACAATTTGGAAATCGCGTTCGATTTGGAAAAATTGGTCAAACAACATAAGTGCACAATAAAGATCCATAATAATTTAAAAATATGTTTTGACGTTTGACCATCCCTTAAAATAATTTATATAATCGTATTTAATTAATTATAATGAGATTAAACATTATATTAAAAAAAAAACTTTCACAAGTGAAGGAAGTCTAGTATGAATATGACCGACGTGGTGACCTTCTGACCACGTGATTACGTCTCCTTCCCTATTTTACCTCCTTAAACACATTCTGAATGACTGCAATAAAAAAGGGCTTAATTATAAATGAGTAGTAGTTTTTCGTCATTGATTGTGGTAATTGAAAAAATATTAAAATGAACTAAACCAAAGCATGGAAACTTACGTTTAAAATAAAAGGGGGTTGCGAAGTGGAGACAGGTAAAAAGTTGTGTAGGGAGGTTGGGGTAAGATTTAACTCGCGTTAGTGAAGAGAGATTAGGAGAAGTGTAGGTAGTAGTTAATAGATCAATTATTGATTATGTTGCAGAGCACTGCAAAACCTTTTTTTTATACGACTATGGCGAGAATACTAAGGAAACGAAACAAAATTAAATATAATTGATAATCCGTTAATCACTTAAAATAGACAATCCAATTATTCTGTTCTTTATGTTTGACCATTATACAAAGTAAATAGAAACAGTGTTTTATTCCAATTAGGTATAACATACAGTCCACTACGAAAGGGAAATATAAAACATCGACTCACACAGATTGATAGGGAGGGTTTCAATTAATAAGGATGAAATCCATAATAGTTATGTGTATTTTGTTTAAATTTTTACTGCTTTTTAACCGACTTTAAAAAAGGAGGAGGTTCTCAATTCGTTGGTATATTTTTTTTATGTATGTTCAGCGATAATTATTTTACACGGTGTTCGATTTCAATAATTCTTTTTTTGTTAGAAAGGGGGTACTTCAGGGGTGGTCCCATATAAATTTGGTCAAAATCTAATTGAGTCCATAAGAAAATCCTCCAACTCTTAATTTTTATGTATGTTTAGTGATAATTCTTTACCACCTTGTCCGATTTCTAGGATTCTTTTTTCGTTAGTGAGGTGGTACCTCAGGGGTGGTCCCATGTAAATTTGGTTAAGATGTGGTGATAGCATCTGCACGATTTTGAAGTTGGTTTTTTTAAATTTTTTATTTCTAATACTCCCAGGCAGCACACTTTGGTATAAATTACGTATTTTTTTAGGTACTACCATACGTATGAATACGGTTGATGTACTACCAAATATATTCGTGAAAATGTCCGCCTAATAAACGTCGATTACTAAGAATTTATCCACCTATAATTAAACGTTTTTATTATACGTCTATATTAGATTTATAGTTTATTTATAGTATATTTATACGAATTCACTTTGGTATAAAATACGTTTTTTATGTACTACAATATACGTATGGATACTGTTGATATGCCACCCAATATATACGTGAAAATGTCCGCCCTATAAACGTATATTTTTTAATTTTTTATACGTCTAACATTACTACTTTATCTACCTTTAATTATCCTGTTTTACTATACGTCTATATTAGATATATTTGTATGATTTTTATTAATGTGTAAAATGCGTCTACCTGATATTGTTTTAAATGTATTTCAAACACAAATTAAATAAAGTGATCAAAACAAAATTTCTAAAAGAGACCATGGAAAAATGTTAATATTTCTTAAATTATAGTTTGGATTTTATCCATAGCAGGCGTCTATACACCAGAAATAGGCATTACTCGTGTTTCTATTTTGGTTGTAATTAGCCTAAATATTTAGAAAAAAATTTTGATAACTTATATGTACAGAACAATATTTAATTAAAAAAAAGTAAACAATAAAATAGGTACTAAAAAATAAATAAATACAAAAAAATAAACACTAAAATACTGAATAACAAACTAAACGAAACTTTTCTTTAACTAACAAATATATATGAAAATAAAAATCTTAGCTTAACACTTTGGATGTGTTGTGTCCTAGACGGGCCTTAGCTAACTTAAGCTAATCTTGCATGGCACACCTAATCGTTCGGTCGGTCAAGTCGCTTGGTTCACCCCCATTTCTATAACCAAAATTTAACTAAATTTCAGGTGAAATATTTTCTAAAAATTCCGAAGTTAAATTTGTATTATTTTCTTGGAAATTATTATAAATAATAGAATCAGATGATATATTAATGTCCGAAGCCTTTTTAATATTATCTTCATTGGGAATAAAAAAAAAATTGATTTGACTTTAAAGCATCTTGAACATTTTGCGCTATTTTTCTACGTAGATGACGCAGAGACAGGGTTATTTTAGACATTTTATTAAATAAAAAACAACTGACCAAAAAAAAAAGGAAAATAACTAGGTAACCTAAAAAATACGTATAAAAATAAAAGATACAAAAGTAAGGTTAGGTTTTGAAGTTTCTATAAGCTTTTAACACACTGTACGTACCTATAAAACAGTAGTTGTTGTAAAATGCAACAATTATTAAAGGAGTAGCTAAATTAAAACATTAATAGAAACTTACCTATGCTTTTAATAAATATCGTAAAAGCCAGGACGCCAAAGCAACATGTAACAAAACGTGTACACAAATTAAAATGGGCCAACCGATGAACCTGCTTCCACAAACCATTCCCTACACTAAACTATAATACTACACATACGCATGAGTAGGAATGAGAAAAGACCGACCGTATCACTAGTACGTCATCCTCCATCCGCCATCTAAAAATAGTTCCATGTGTATGGGGAATTTGTTATAAATATTACAGGTAATATAATTAAAAAAATATGGATGTAATGTAAATAAATATATCTATAAGCTGTTAATTTAAATAAACCTAAATATATACATATTATTTACTTCTGTCTACTAGTTCATCGTAAACTGGTATTATACGATTAAGGTGACTTATATTTAAACGTAGAATAATATAGGTATATTAACTAGTATCGACAAACAAAAGCGTTTAATTTATCTGTTAAAGAACGTTAAGTATAAAAATGGTAGATGGTAAACGTTTAAAAAATCAACCAAGACGAAATTTAAACGGGAATTATAAACGAAGAAAACATATTGTAATATAATGTAAATTTATACGAATTTAATTTAAATAAACCTAAACGTATATTTAGGCCCACGGTATATAAATAGTTCATCGCAAACTAAAAATAGTCGTATATTGTTAACTATATTTAAACGTAGAAAAATTTACAATTATATACCATAGGATGTATATAAAAAACGTATACTATATCGTTTAAAACACCGTATGTATAATAATCGTAAACTGTAAACGTATACGGAATCAACCAATACCAAAATTAAACGAGTATTACGTATAAAATACGTTAGTTATACTAATGTGTGCTGCCTGGGGCTTGTTAGCGATAATTCTTTACCACCTTGTCTGATTTCTAGGATTCTTTTTTGTTAGTAAGGGGGTACCTCAGAGGTGGTCTATAAATTTGGTTAAGATGTGGTGATGGCATCTGTACGATTTTGTAGTCAGTTTTTTAAAATTACTTTAAATACTTGTCCAATACAAATATTTCTAAATATGAACATAATATGCAAAATGGCACTGATTATAATTCTGAAATTTGGGTGTTAAATTATTATTATTTATTAGTTATTCTAGTTATTCTGAAGTTTATTTAGGGAAATTAATTCTCGCGGTTATTTCTCAGAGCATGAGTACAAAAGCTATGAGAAAAGTACAATTATGTACAGCAGTCGAAGAAAAAATACTTTATGAGTGTGTCTTTCTTGTGTATTTATTTGTATTTAAAAAGTAATTAGTCAGAAAATTTAAATAAATATGCATCTTTAATACCAGAGAAAGATATGTATCATATTATTAAATTATCATTAATTACTCACCTGTATTAGCTCCTGTAACTATAACTGTTTTCCCAGAGAGACTCACTTTATTGCTATTACTGAATGCCATTAAAAAATAATAATTGTTTATAACTCTATTTTTCTTTGTATTCTCTAATAGAATATTAATTATTGTTTTAGGTACCTAAATTACCAAAATGGACTCTGTGAATTGGCTTTGTTGATTCGTTATGACAATTGTGATTATAGAGCTAGTTATATTTTGAACCTAATTATTATAATCAATCTCAAAAACATAAAAACAAGTTTAATAACCAGTTGTTAAAGAAATCACATAAATATTATTAAGTTGATAAAATTGTAATAAGTAACCAATATTATCATTTTCAAATCTTTTTCATATCAAGGTTAAATTAGTGAATACATTATTTTATCGATAGCTAATCTACTATACCAGGTGCTTCAGAGTGTAATGTACATATAGCAGGGGTAGAAGTTGTAAAGGCTTTTGCCAGTTCTCCCGCTTTATACACATAAATTGACAGGTTTGCGGCGGATCTAACCAAAGTGGACGCCATACATTGGCGTACAAAATTATTTTATAGATGTTATTAACAATTTAGAGTAAATAGTTTAATAAATTATGAATAGCTGTTGAAATTTTGTAAAATTATGATTTAAATATTATAATATATGTTTAATAATACATTACTGAGAAATTCTCGAAGCCGGCCGACGTGGTTTGACGTTTACCCCCTCTCGACAAACAACTAATAAAAGTGTAAAGCACAAACGTTTTGGTTTTCTCTCTACTTACTGTGCTGTTCGCATTTGAAAAAAGTAAAGCGCTCTCAAAAAAGTACACATGAGTAGCGTTTTGCTGTCAGCACTTCAAGTTTTTACATTTAAGGTTAAGATTTTCGGACGTAGATAAGTCAAATATAAAAATTAATTATATTCTATCCTAATACCAAAAAAAAACAGTAACAATTATTTTGACAGAATTGTCAATAAAACAAAAACAAAAATAGTAGTTTGTGTAAAAAGTGCGTATATAAAGACACAGTTTGAGCACAACGCCGTACGAGAAGGATTAAATAGTCTGAGTGCGATATGGAAAATCCACTCTGATTGTAAAGTATATTTTTTCTATGATCCGCAAACGACATTTTAAAAATTGTTGAGGTAAAATAACTATTCTAAAAATAATTTACGACATATTTTCTTTATAGCACAGAACAGAAAAGAAAGTAGCGGTCGGTACTTTGAAGTAGTAGGTAGAAATCTTTGGAATTCAGAACCATTATAGAGCTACTCTGAGAAAACTAATGCACGCGAACATAAACTATTCATTAAAACTACAGTACATTTATTTCTATTGTACTTTGACAATGCTCCATTTCCACTATCAATAAGGCGCGGGTACAATGGCTAAGATTTCTGTATCGTTCATCTATTCTGTGGTTGTGGTTACTTTTTTAAAAATAGGATAGACCCGGGGAAGTTTTCAGATGATGAAAGAATTGGGTTAAAAATATACTGTAATGGTTGTAATGGTTTACAAAAAATATCAGCACATTCCTTAAGTAAGAAAAATTAATCAAATCTGGTCCGGTCGTTTGTTTTGACTCCATTTTTCTTTAGTAATGTTCAGAAAACATTGATACTGTGAAAGACATGATTTTGAAGGATCAATAAATTAGACTCAAGCTTATCTAAGGAACAATTTGAAAACGAATTCACTATTATCTAAATGTCCTCTTTCATTCCATTGATCCCTGGCATATATGTTAAACTTACTATACTCTATTTTTAAACTAAGAGGAGCGATTTGAATTTAAGTTGGCAATTCTGTAGTCTTCTGATTGGTCAGATTATAGTCACTTTCACACATTACTTTTTAGCATGAACATCAGCTAATAATTGATATTGTTGACAGTTCTGACATTTTATAATTTGATATCTCATCCATTACTTAGTTTTTTACTTTATTTCGTAAATAATAGTTCTTCAGTAAGCAATTGTATTGAAAATCTACAATTATGGATCCTTCTACACTGAGTACTATTAAAGGTAGCAATTCCTGAAAAGCCTTACAAGAAAGGGAAGACACCTTATTATTTTACATGCTGATTCTGAAGGTTTTGTAGAAAATGCATTATTTCTAACCACAATGATTTAAATGTAACTAAATATTCAAGCAAATTTTATTTATTAGACTAGAATAAAACTATTTACAAAATTAACATTTAAAACACCATCTACTACTTTAGGGACAATCTTAATTTGGCACAATGAGTTAACATTACTTTCACAAAAAATATTTTAAAAATACTTAAAATTAATACATAGGTATGTGTGAATAGTTCACTTTAAAAAATATATATTGACATGTAGTGTTATGAAAATGTTGGTTCCAGTTTTCAATACAATTTCTGATTCATAGGCCTGTAAACTTTTGAATGCCTTTATTTGCCCTCTAGCGCACTAACCATGGGTTAACACTAAATAAGCCATAATATCCACATTACTCATAGAAGAGATACCAGTTACTGTGTGATCCACTTATCATTCACTGATTAACTTTTACTTTTTATACCTATAACAAATATATCCTTAAAAATGTAAACAGATATTTATATTTTATACTAACCTGGCTACATCTGGATATTCCATTAACAATTTTCTTAAATATTTAATATCCATTTTAAAAAGATCATAGTTATTCTCAAAAAGTCGATTTCAAAAGCAAGAAAAAAGTATTTCTGACATCAATCAACAACCATATTGACTTTAATTTGACAGTGACATTTCGTTTTAGATACACATTTCAGATCACAATAATCACAATAATGTGAAATTTGCGACCGTTGTCTGGGACCAATTAAAAAATTACTTCTATGACATTTATTCGTTTCTTAACCGCTCATTGGCCGTTCACCGAATAAGGCCGATACAGATAATTATTTCATAAATTTTGAACACGACTATATTTCGAAACTCGCTCTTAGTAACAAATCTAGTTACTTTTCCCTGTGTAAATGCGTCTTTTCAATTCGCTCCTCCTAGTTTAAAAACAGAGTATAGTACATCATAAATATTCTTTTGAATATGGCAATTTAGTATAATGTTATATTGTTATGTTATGTTATGTTTATGTTATGTTATGTTATGTTATGTTATGTTATGTTATGTTATGTTATGTTATGTTATGTTATGTTATGTTATGTTATGTTATGTTATGTTATGTTATGTTATGTTATGTTATGTTATGTTATGTTATGTTATGTTATGTTATGTTATGTTATGGTATGTTATTTTGTTATATTTTGTTGAGGATGGGGTGTGGTATTACACTGTGACCTAAAAAAATCTATTGTGTCCCCTTCTGTCGCTAATGAAGCAAGGGAATGTCTCAATGCCTATAACGACTCTTTCAATCCAAGTGTAGGATTTGGAGTGGCTTCAAGTTAGGTAAATCTCCCTCTTCTATTTGTTATGCTCTTAGGTATAGTGCCCTTGGATTCTAGGATGCTATACATTTAGTTAAAATGTGAAGGTTTCGTTCTCCTTCTCACAGAATCTGCACTCACTAGCTTCTACTGCTCTCAGTTTACTAAGGTGTTCTTTGAGTCGGTAATGTTCAGTAAGGACCCCTGTTACAATACCTAGCCTGTTCTTGCCCAGGCAGATACAGGCTTCCAATCTTTTCTGGTTATATTTACCCAGAAGGATCTTAGCCTGTCTTAGCCCCAAGAGATTATTCCAATTATCGGTTCTTCTACTGTCCAATTCTTTTTTAATCTCTTCTAATATTGTGTTACTGCTGATACCGCAGAACGACTCAGGTCCCACAAAGGGTGTTTGAGCTATTTTCCTTGCGAGACTATCTGCAATCTCGTTACCCTGTAGCCTGTTATGTTCCGGGACCCAAGTGAGAGTAACTGTATTTTCCTCGCCTAGCTCACTCAATTTTTCTAGGTAAAAATTTAGTATGGAAATAAAATTAAAAAAAAAGTTGAGTTCTTTAGTATTTTATCTTTAATCTTATCCAAAGTACCTGCAGGTGTTATGTATACCTGTAATTTATCATTTCTATTAGATATAAAATGCCGTGTATATTTGTACAAGCTAATTATTCTATCAAGCTATTTCTCAATTATTCTGAAAATGAATTAAGAAAACAGCTCCAAGATCTAATAACTAATTTCATGATATGATCATTTGGAAAAAAAGTAAAGCAGAATTAACCACATGTTTTTGAAATCGAAAATGTTGTTAATATCAAGTTTCCACGTGGAACTGTTTGGAATTGTTTTAGATATGATTATTAAAACCTATAAGATCTAATGTTGACCTGTGTTGACAAAACTCAAAATTATCTACGATCGATATTTTTGTATTTTTAATAATGGAAGAAAGTAGAGTTAATTAAAATGAATATTTTGGAGATTTTTTTAGGTCCGAGAGTTGAAAGAGGCAGTTAAAACAGAGGCATCATTCATTTTGAATGTATGTTGGGAACATTTAAACTGATGTTTTAGCTTTCTCCTTAATGATTCTGATCGGTTTTCTACTCTCAGTAGTAAGTGGTTACAAGGATAGTAGTGAAATTTTACTTTATCGGTACCGGGTGACAATGAGACTAAGGTAGGAAGACTAGAGATAAGGAGACGAATCGGCATACTCAAAATACGGTCCCAAAAAACGCATGCTAATTGAGCTTCTATAATTAACCGCATGGGCGCTGGTACTGCATACGGTGTTCAAAATACATGGCTTCTTATGGGAATTATATATAATTTTCTTTAAATAATAAAAATAAACTAGTTTATAGCTAAATAAAGCACAGAACATACTGTTGTATTTAATTCTAAATAAGTCTTGCATATTTTAATTGATATTTTATTTAATTTTATCTATATAAAATACAAATTAGGTATGTATGACCAAATTCGAAAAGGTTTCTTAAATGCTGAAATTTGATAAGTACAATTATTTTGTAGCAATTTTTTTTTTTTTTTAATTGAAACAATATATAGTTTAAGAGTAAAATAAAACACAGTTAACAGACTTTTTATTGTTGTAATACAAGTATAAAGGGAGATTTGGGAATGTACATGGTATTACCTCATCCTTTAATTTCAGCTTTCCACTTTTTAATTTGCTAACAGTACCATCAGTAAAAATAGCCTTATAATATTTGATATCTTCTAAAAAGTATAAAACAGCATCATCTCTAGAAAGTGTTTTATCGGCACTAGGAACGATATATATGCTGCCACTGTTCTAAACGTTTAGTATCCTATAAAAAACATTTACAATGACACAATTGGGGTCAAAAAAAAATAAGAGTAGCAACTCTTTATCTAACATTAAAACTCTATAAAAAATAAATGTTCTTTTCTAGTAAGTT